GGTAGTAGTTCAATTGAGATTTGAAGTTCAGTAGCATCAAGCATGTACATATTTGTGTAGTGTTACGAGAAACTTTAAAGCCAAATTTAGCTGGAGATTTTTTTTTCAAAGCTCTATGACTGCTCCGATAATCTTTTTTCATTTTTCTTTTGCAGATAAACTATACCCTGTCCTTCGAGGAGATCAGCTTAAAGTTTATTGCCATAGGTGAGCAGGTAATATATGAAATACGCATATGTGCCATGAATAAGAATATGTGATCATGATCCTCATTATCACACAAAAGAACATAGGTTTCTTTCCTTAAAAATGAGAGTGACTATGCTTACAAATTGAGATTGATATGAAGGAATTTTACCAAATTTATGGCATCGTATTTTTGCAAATAATACCCTGGAAAGGGCCTAGATTTGTTTTTCCATGTAACATTTCATTCCTCCATTTGTAAATTTCCTTACGTTCAGTTAGGTTCTATGTTTATTCTATCAAATGATTCTATTTTTCTCAACTGATTTCAGCTTTCTATCTGGTGGGAAAGCTTTGGTATACACCTTTACTAGAAACTAGAAACTCTCTAATGGAAAATGCACAAAGGAAACTAGGAAAAAAATAGAAAAGAAGAGAGGTGGGAGAAAGAGTGAAGAGAGAAGGATGCAGAAGAGCATAGGAGATATACATGGACAGCCTCGTCTAAGCATTTCTTTCACCATTTGAACCATTAATATCCAACTAGGAATGACAAAATGCAGCGTGACCTTATCTGTGATAGTGGTCAAGGAATAGGTTTAAAGTTGCTTGATAAAACACACAGATATTAAATGCGGGTACATACAAAGTAATATTTAAGGATTTGCGTTAGAGCATAGATATTCCATATAGGGAAAATGAAAGCATATGGTTTGAAAGTCGAGTTCTTGTCTTCGTTTTCTTAATGATTAGAGCATAGGTATTCCACATAGGAAAAATGAAAGCATATAGTTTGAAACTCTGTTCTTATTTGCCGCTTATCATTCATTTCTTCGTTTATAAAAATACTGGGATGATTTCCCACTCTTCACATTGGATAGTTTATTAAACATGTGTTCTTAAAATTCATGTTCTGATTAATTGTTGGGCAGCATTTTACCTAATTGCTTGTTGCGGAAATTTTTATGTCACAGCCATAGGCTGTCTGGGAACTTTTCCCATTTAGCTTTTAATTAGATCCTTTCGCTTCTTCTTATAACCAAATTGCTCTTCAGTTCCAAAGCAACTAATAGAACTTTGATATTTTGAAATGTTTCACGAGCACAGGTTTGACAACTACTGAAATTTGTGCTAAGTTATTCAAGCTGAGTATCAGCATACCACATAGGTTAAAGCAACATTCTGAGATGAGTTTGGTATTTATTTTTCTCTCCTGTTATCATGCATAGTAAGACCTAAAGTGGTTCTACAGACAAATCTAAGAATTAACTATGTAAGTATTCCCATTGTTATCGAGGCGCGCGTGCCAGGGGCGCCTCGGGCACCAGGCGCTACGACCTGCCGCAAACACGCCCTGCACCAGAGGTGGGGCACGCGCCTAGCGCGCCTGTCGGGCGCACTGAATCCATGCGTCTGTTTCGGGTGAAGCGGGTTTCGGGTTGAAGTGGGTTTCGGGTTTGCTCCTCTCAAACCCTTATGTTTTAGGGTTCTCACAGTGGCTGCTCCTCTCCTCAAACTCTCACAATACGGAGAATGACTTGGTGGATGAGGAGGATGACCTTAGATGGGGTATTGTAGGCGAAGCAACGGGAGTTGAAGAAAATTTTGGACCAACTTTAAGGTCTACTGCTAGGGTTCGAGGATCTTCAAGTGGTATTGCTTCGTCATCTAGGAGGAGCGAGCCGGACTCGGAGGATGAATAAGAGTTCAATGAAGAAGAGAAGGAAACTGAGGATGAGGAAATTCCACTTCAGTTGGATGACGATGATGATGATGACTAGACACTCTGTTATTTTGCTACTTGCTTATTTTGTTTTGTAGACTTTTGCTCGTGTTAGATATTATCTTGCATTGTGATTTGTGAGAATTTTTGAACTTCTCTATGTTATGCATGCTAATTAAGACTCTTTCGTGATTTAGTAGGTGAAATTATATTTCTTAGTCTTTTTATGCGACAATTTATAAACATGTTGCTTATATGCTTCTTTGTCTTATGTTGGAAAATATTAGTTTGAGTTGTGCGCCTCAATTCAGTGAGGCGCGCGCCTCGTTGCGCGCCTTGCGCATGGTGCGCATAAGGGACCTCTGCGCCCCGCATTGCGCCTTGTGCCTCGATAACACCAGGTATTCCTTTAGAGACATAGTAGGAGAATGATTGTAGGACGGGTTTCAAGGAAATAGACTTGGAAGGGGGTTTTATGGGGGCTGACAGAACAAGCTTGATAGTCTTGCTGGTTAGAAGTAAATTGGTGTGGATGGTTAGAAGGAAAGTTTGGTACCGGTTGATTCCAATCAGTCCTCTTCACATTGTGTATGAGAGTTTTTGCAGTCTCTTTTCTTTTGGACAACATTAAGTGCTTATCAGATTGTAGCTTAATCCATCTAGGTTGTTATCCTAGGTCGACAATCTCACCAGTGACGTGCATGCATACATACATACACATGAAAGAGTTATTTTAGATATCGGACAGACTCCTCATCGTGTACGTTTCCACATATAGGCTTATGTATATAAGTCTTTTGTGATCTGACTAAAGCAACTACTGAAATTGAATTCCTGAAGGAGGTCCAAGGCTGGGCCTGAGGCTGAGTTTTAAATGTTAATTATGACACACAAGCTTTTTTAGTACTTAATTCTTTTATTTCTTTTCTTTCCTAATATTGCAGTATCCATTGTTCTTCCTTTTCTCTTCTTACGACAAGTAAATCCTTCAAGTGAGATCTACTAACCGTTATTGTCTTTTCCCAAAGTTTTGATCCCTGTTACATTTGGTGTGTTCTCTGAAAGTTTTTACTTCCAATGCATGAAAAAGATTCCACTTTATCATTGAGGGAATGACCTCATTATATTTTTGCTAGTGGCATTACCGTTCTCATTTTTATCTTTAGAATTAAAGTTCTTTAGTTTTTGCATCTCTCTTTCTTATGTGCAGGATGCTCTTAGGACGTTCTTATTAAGAAAGCTTGATAATCTTACAAGAGATGATAAGTGCCAAATTACAATGATCTCTACATGGACTACTGAGCTGTATTTGGACAAGGTTGTGCTTTTGGAACATGCAGATTACTCACACATAAAAACTTATGCAATATATTTTTGTTGGTACATTGTGTTGATAAAGTTCCCAAAAGAACTGATACATCGGAATCCCTTCTTCTTTTCCTTATTACGATTATGGTTTTGTGTTTACATGCCGACTTTTGCTAAATTAAATTTACTAGATAGATGACTTTTTCCCATCAGTACTTAATTCAGGAATAAGCATAAATATCAGAAAATGCTGATGCATGGAAAAAAATCTCCTCTACATAATGCTTGTTATTTCCTAGAGTAATTTCCAAATCATTTTTGGTTACCTATTTAGTGGGTTATGGTTCATACTTTTTGTTTCTTGCTTAATATTGGTCATCAGGATAAAATGATTTCCTTGTCGTTAAAACCTCAACATTGTTTGGTATAAAACCTTTAGGTGAACAAGTTGAATGGCTGAAGTTGTTTAATTGGACAATCACTTCGCTGTGAATTATTAGGACATTATTATTGTTTGATCATTCGTCACCAAGGATGTTTTGAGCAAATGTACCTACCTGAACATCATGTTGATCATATCTTGGCTTGCCAATTCATAGTCTTTGGTACTTATCCTTTGCTATCCAATATGGTAAATTTACGGATGTCCTCGCATGCCATTGCTGTTACTATGGGTTCTCATCTATAAAGTTCAATATTTCAATTGAACATAAGTTTCACAAATCTATGTAGTGTTTCTTTTTCATTTTTGATTTAAACATCAATCATATGATCTATTAATCTAACCCTCGGGTGCATTCGTTGCTCCTCAGCATATTTCAACTTCTGTTCATCTAAGCTCCTGAGAAGGTAAACTGTACTTAATGAAATAGAACATTTTCGATCAGTCCATAATTTTTAATGACTGTAGTTTAAATGAACGTTGCACATCTAATTGTCTGCAATAACTATTAATTAGTTTATTGATTTGAGTGGCTACGCTCACTATTAATCTATATTTCAGTAGTTTATGTGCATCTGGATTTCTTAGACTAATCTCTTTGTTGTTGAAATTATATTCCTGTCCAAGGAAATATGAGTTTTTTTATAGTTGATGGGAGTCGTAATTTAGAAACAACATTGTTTTTATCAGTTATATCAAAGTCATTTATTTTGAATGGAGATTTCACTTTTAGTAAAATTGTTACGTCATATGCAAGACAAGCATTTGCTAACCTGAAGTTAGTGCTATCATTGGTTTGCTTTGTTTTTGGCATTTTATTGCATGTATAGATATGTCCCAGTGAATCTTAGTGCAAACTTTGTATGTGCTACTACATTTTGAACAACTTTAACTTGCACATCACTATCATTTGTTTTTTTGTTCTACTTCATACGTTCAATTTCTAGGTCTTGTTAGCCCTCAGTAGAATCCAAGACCTTTTCTTTTTTGTGCCTTAACTTTTGTTCCACCTAATCCCAGTTCCTTTGTTATACTTAAAATTCCTGTTTTTTAACCTTCGGATGCATTATTCTAGCATAACCACCTTGTTCTCTCTTATGTTGAACTCAGAATCTAACATTTAATGTTGCATAAATACAATTTGAGAATCAAATACTAATATATGATCTCAACTAATTTCTTGATTTGGCTTCCATCTCCTGAAGCCAGCCAACCTCAAACAAACAAAGCACATACCCACTTGAACCCCATCCCTACCCCATCTCTAACCTCTAATTCTGGTCAATTTAGGAACCACTACATCTCTTTTTAAGAAAGTCAAGGACTCAAGGTTGACCATTCTAATTTTTCATCTACTTGTGCTATCAATAGTTCGAGCTTAATAAAGAAACCATCTGCTTATCAACTTCTTTTTCAGTCGCTAGCTATTACGTTTCTTATAAATCAATATTGACATGATTCGTAGGTTAGTTTTTCCTTATTGTGTAGTCTCTGAGACCAGCATGTTCAAATTGAAGCAATTTTTTTTTGTTGACATCACCATAAAATCGTACAACATTTTTGGTCTATTTGAAACTACAACCGTAGGCTCAACATCCAATCATTTCTTCTGCAGTACAGTCAATTTTTTTATCGATTAAAGCTATAACATTAGAAATATATATGGGATAAATGTTCAACGAACCATGATTTTTTACAATTTTTTTTTTCAGAAATAAATAGTTTTCTCATATTCAGGGATTTATCAAGGCATGTTGGGTTTGACTATTATTTTATCTAAACTATGTAGATCAATCGTCTATTGCTGGAAGATGACACAGCCACAGTTAATAATGTCTCATTCGCAAGCAGTGATTCGGATTACCAATCAATTATCATGGAATTTCGGGCCTTCCTTAGTGATTCCAAGGATGTATTGGACGAGGCAACGACAATGAGGTTATTAGAGAGGTGAGATAATTCATATACTACATGTGTATTGTTCTAGCTCCACACCTTATACTTGTTAGGGATCATTATAGATCAGATACGTCGCATGCTATCCTGCAAAATCACTTATCCTTGATTTTTGACCTTTTTGGCGAAGCTTTGCTATATGATCTGTCTGCTATCACAAGGGTCATGGAGAAAGGTTCTTTTAGTCCAAAGTTTCCATGTATTATGTAGGTTACAAATTGCATACACTCTTATATTGCAAGATAAGAACTTCACAGTACTATAATATTTCACGATAAGAGTTATATAGCACTATTCTATTTCAAGATAAGAACTATGTGGTGGACAGGGACGTGCACATATGTAAGACCCCATTATATTTGTGTTGGCTCATTTTCCATTCATCATACTCACCATTTCGCAATTCCACTATGACTGTGAGGAAACAAAATGACGTAAAAACTTTTAAGGTCTTTTGCAAACTGTACATATGCAAGATGTCCTAATTGATGGGAAGTATTCTCCCCCGGATAGTCTCTTAAATCTTTAATATTGAAATTAATCCCTCAAATCACTGAAATTGCTATTAGGTGACTAGGTCCTCTGGCTCTTAAATCTTACTACCATTACTCTTTATTGGAAGGATTAATTTCAAACAACTTATAAGAATTTGGGACCTAATAGTAATTTCAATGATTGGAGGGACTAATTTTGAGGTAACTTATAAGAATTAAGAACCTAATGGAAAATTTAATGATTTGACAGACTAATTTCAAAATAGTAAAGGTTTAAGGGACTAATCTTGAAATAGCCCTAATAGGAAACACGCTGGGATAACCATCAAATTGCTGTTTTAACTAGTGAAACTCTTCAAATTTTTTTCTTCAATGTTCAATTGTGACATGGTTTCTTCCACATAAATTGTTCCTTATTATTTTTTTCATGATCATTGCATGATTTTCCTTCGCCATTTCAACTATTAATTATTTGAACTGGTGGTAGTGAAAAATATGAAGCATTTTAGTAACATTCAAAAAGTCATATAAGGTACTAATTTTTTCTTGAGTTTTTGTGCCAAAGATCTTTCTGGGACTTTGAGAGTCGGAGTTTTTGGCAATGATTTTTTGTTGGGAAATGTTTCCTCTCAACTTCCAGCTTTTCGGTACAATCTATCATGCTACTGTATTTCTCTTAAGGGAAACATCTTTTGACTATCTTTTAATTTTCATCCAGCTATAAACAATTAAACATAACTAATGGTGCTTCCTATTAATAAAACATGTAGTTTCCATGATAAGGTCATATGATATTATGAAATCTAGAATGGTCATGCATATTTCACTCATTGGTTGCCATCCATGACTTCCATGAACATTTTTGTATCAGTTACGAGTATGCGCCTTTGCATATTTTGCTCGAACATGACATTTGAGTCTCCTAAATAGTATATATGTATTCATGCTTCCTCAAGTTTTTTACTGTGTCCCTGTGTAACTTAAAGTTTGGGTACTCTACTTTTGTCCTTTTAAATCTTCCGGTTTTTATTCCTTGTTTTCCAATGTAGTTATTGTTTTAAAATCTGAGAAGTATGATGTATACCTCAGTCCATTTTTAATCTAACACCATGGTTCTGTTTTCATCATATATTTGAGGTGGACTGCCTACAAACAAGCTCTATTTAGTTTTAGTTTATGCGTGGGAATCATCTTGCTAACTTTATCATTTCACATAGCAGCAATTTTTGTTACAAAGAAATGTTTATATGTTGCATCTTTCCGAAACATTTGCAGTTATGGCAGAGTTGATGAACTCGTATTCTTTGCCAGTCTTAAGGAGCATTACGAAATTGTTATTCATCATTATATCCAGGTGTGTTCGTTGTTCTACATTATGTTCTGAGTTCCTATTCCGAACCTGTATATATTAGTTTTATGCTTTTATTTCCTTTTCTTAGTATATTACACCGGATGTATCTTTCTAATCAATTTAGTTTTCTAAGTTAATTCCTCTGCTAGCTTGAATTGATATCCTTGAACAATTTACACGTAACATTTATTTGTATTTATCTTTTGTTGATTCATCTAGATCAGGAACATTTCATCAGGGAATTATTTCGTGAGTTTCTTATTTTGTAATTCTTTTCAATTTCCATATGGCTCATTGAATAAGTTTTCTCAACTTTTACTAACCTTCAACCCACTTTTAGTATGAACGCTGCATAATCCGCAATGCTGAGTGTGCAGGTTAAATGGCAGAAAAACTAAATGATAAAACGAGCAAAGAAATCTGCATGCCAGGGTGATGAAATATTTGAGATTGGACATTTATGGAAAAAATCATAACTTACCTGGATCTTCATAAATGTGGATCAATTAGGGGAACGGGGAAAAATGTCAGGATGATTAGATCTTTTATTGGAGAACAGGAAGAAAATCATAAAAGTGCATTTGTTACGCCGATCTTCTGACATATGGGTCAGTTGGGTGCAAGTTAATTCTAATCCTTTTGTGTTTTTTTTTTGGGGGGGTGGGGGGTGGTTGGACATTTATGGAAAAAATCATAACTTACCTGGATCTTCATAAATGTGGATCAATTAGGGGAACGGGGAAAAATGTCAGGATGATTAGATCTTTTATTGGAGAACAGGAAGAAAATCATAAAAGTGCATTTGTTACGCCGATCTTCTGACATATGGGTCAGTTGGGTGCAAGTTAATTCTAATCCTTTTGTGTTTTTTTTTTGGGGGGGTGGGGGGTGGTTGGCAATGATTTTTTGTTGGGAAATGTTTCCTCTCAACTTCCAGCTTTTCGGTACAATCTATCATGCTACTGTATTTCTCTTAAGGGAAACATCTTTTGACTATCTTTTAATTTTCATCCAGCTATAAACAATTAAACATAACTAATGGTGCTTCCTATTAATAAAACATGTAGTTTCCATGATAAGGTCATATGATATTATGAAATCTAGAATGGTCATGCATATTTCACTCATTGGTTGCCATCCATGACTTCCATGAACATTTTTGTATCAGTTACGAGTATGCGCCTTTGCATATTTTGCTCGAACATGACATTTGAGTCTCCTAAATAGTATATATGTATTCATGCTTCCTCAAGTTTTTTACTGTGTCCCTGTGTAACTTAAAGTTTGGGTACTCTACTTTTGTCCTTTTAAATCTTCCGGTTTTTATTCCTTGTTTTCCAATGTAGTTATTGTTTTAAAATCTGAGAAGTATGATGTATACCTCAGTCCATTTTTAATCTAACACCATGGTTCTGTTTTCATCATATATTTGAGGTGGACTGCCTACAAACAAGCTCTATTTAGTTTTAGTTTATGCGTGGGAATCATCTTGCTAACTTTATCATTTCACATAGCAGCAATTTTTGTTACAAAGAAATGTTTATATGTTGCATCTTTCCGAAACATTTGCAGTTATGGCAGAGTTGATGAACTCGTATTCTTTGCCAGTCTTAAGGAGCATTACGAAATTGTTATTCATCATTATATCCAGGTGTGTTCGTTGTTCTACATTATGTTCTGAGTTCCTATTCCGAACCTGTATATATTAGTTTTATGCTTTTATTTCCTTTTCTTAGTATATTACACCGGATGTATCTTTCTAATCAATTTAGTTTTCTAAGTTAATTCCTCTGCTAGCTTGAATTGATATCCTTGAACAATTTACACGTAACATTTATTTGTATTTATCTTTTGTTGATTCATCTAGATCAGGAACATTTCATCAGGGAATTATTTCGTGAGTTTCTTATTTTGTAATTCTTTTCAATTTCCATATGGCTCATTGAATAAGTTTTCTCAACTTTTACTAACCTTCAACCCACTTTTAGTATGAACGCTGCATAATCCGCAATGCTGAGTGTGCAGGTTAAATGGCAGAAAAACTAAATGATAAAACGAGCAAAGAAATCTGCATGCCAGGGTGATGAAATATTTGAGATTGGACATTTATGGAAAAAATCATAACTTACCTGGATCTTCATAAATGTGGATCAATTAGGGGAACGGGGAAAAATGTCAGGATGATTAGATCTTTTATTGGAGAACAGGAAGAAAATCATAAAAGTGCATTTGTTACGCCGATCTTCTGACATATGGGTCAGTTGGGTGCAAGTTTGAATCCACTTTGCAGGAAGGGCTTGTGAGATCCAAGTACTTACGAGACCGGTTTGAAAGTTCTATTTAATTTATCAGATTAGATTCCTTTTTTTAAGCTAGCGAGTTGTATGATATAGTTAGTTGAAATTTGGGATAACATGTGGCTAGAGGTGGAAACCAATTGAATTAATGAATCCACTTTGCAGGAAGGGCTTGTGAGATCCAAGTACTTACGAGACCGGTTTGAAAGTTCTATTTAATTTATCAGATTAGATTCCTTTTTTTAAGCTAGCGAGTTGTATGATATAGTTAGTTGAAATTTGGGATAACATGTGGCTAGAGGTGGAAACCAATTGAATTAAATCGAATAGTAAGCTATTCGAATATGAATTTGACTCACTTTGGTTATTTGAATTTAAACCGAATATCAAAATGGTATTCGAATTCGATTAGGATAAATAACATAAAATTTGACTATTGTTCATGAATGTTCTTATGGCACAATTGGTTAAGGAATTAGGTTCGCGATTTAGGGGTTTTTGACTTAGGCATTTTACTTACTATTCTTATAACATTTTATTATACACACACACACACATATTTATGAACTATTATTTTCCCATAAAAATATTTCTAAGCTATTATTTTATATAATATAGGTACAAATAGTGAAATATTTAAATATTATTTAAAAAGAAAATGTCATATAATGTAATAATGTATAAATATAAACATCCTACTATAGGTTTCATAATTTAAATCTACAAAGCTTTATAATTTGGCAAGCTCATTTTAACATTGAAAACTTCTCCATTACTTTTTATTTACACTAATTTATATAATTTAAAAAATATTAATCTACATCTAAATTAACTTATGAATATATCAATCAAATTTTAAATAACCTCTAGTCAAACATAATCTCGTAGGCTTAAATAAAAAACTATTTTTAATAGATATTATGTTTGTGTTGATGTATGTGGGCATGATATACATCTCAAATATAATTTTATAATAGGAGGAATATAGTTTGTAGTAAATTAAATTTATAGGACTCAAATGTAAAATGTGAACAAATATTTAATAATTAGTAATCAAACGTGAATATGCTTCTGGTTAAATCCTATTCGCTTATGTATCGAATACTAAAATGTATTTGTTTATCGTTAAATGAACTATTGAATCGAATATAACTGAATACCTAGACCAATAATTAACGAACTATTTGTTAATTATTTGGTTTGTTTCCAACCCTACATGTAGCTTTACTTGCGTCATCTTTTCTAGTTTGTGTACTTAGTTGATTCTTGTCCTTGCGAACTATGAGTGGGTTGATCCCATTTTTTGCATGCGTTTTGCTATCCGCGCGGAGTGTGCCTTGCTAGTCGGTGCTATCTGCATGATCATTGAAGTTAGCAAGGTTGCTGATAGCGGATCGCGGTGCATCACGGCGAGGTACCGCTAAAGCTATTTGTGGCTATTACGGCAAAATAGCGGCAAATAGCCCACAGTCAAATAGCGGTCAAATATAAATATATTTAAATATTCTAAATAATAAGACAAATCATATAAAAAATTTAAAAATTTTACAAATGCATACTAGATGCCTAAACATGAAATAGATGTGTAATAATTACATAATATTAACAAAGTATTATAATTATAAAGATTAAAGAATAAAAAAACGTACCTATTTATCAAAAAGACCGTTATTTGTCCCATTTCTTCAACAAATGGACTATTAAATATTAATTAATGAATAATTGTAACAAATAGCACTGTAGAGTCTATAAATTAGTAAATTTGAAAGGCGTCACAAACAAGTTTCGCTCCATCACCAATAAACATATAAAAGAAGTCCAAAATAATTAAAATTGCTAGATTATCCATGCTTAACCCTGGAATATAATATATAAGTACTGGATATCGAATTCTCAAACCACACCCCATCATGTCCAATATTTTCATGATAGAGGTAAAGACGCTAAAACTAAACGTGCGCAACTAGAGAGGGAACTAGTTCCAACAAAAGGAATACGCACGAAGTTCAAACCAGTTAAAGTAGAGAGGTGAAGATGTTACAAACTAAGCGAGGACAACAAGAGAGAGAGCTAATTCCCACAAAAGAAATTGACTGCCTGAAAATTTTATTCTTATAGAGTTAAACAACATAAGGAGATGTTGCTGCTTACATTTTTCTCTCTGTTGCAGACGAAGCCCAACAGAGAGATGTTGCTGCTGCTGGTCGTCGGAGGGAAGTGCTGCTGGTCGCTGGAGGGAAGGTTTGTTGTAGCCGGAGTGTCGTCGGAGGAAGTGAGAGAGAGAGAAAGGTGAGACCGTGAGAGAGATGGCGTGAGATGTTGCCGACGGCGTTGACTGGAGGTGGCGCTGAGAGTCGTCGCCGGAGGACGTGAAATAGAGGCACAAGAGGGAGAGGCACCGGAGGCGGCTAGGGCATATTCGGGAGTCAGAGAGATGAATTTTAAAAGATGGGTTCGGGTCGGGTTCGGGGAGGGTTTTAACAGTATAAGTTAGCGGTTTTAAGCGCTAAACCCCGCGATCACGCGCTTTTGACCGCGTTTCGAGCAAAAAGCGGTTTTCTCCGCCAAAACACCCCGTTATCCCCTATCTCGGCCCAGTGAAGCCCCGCGACCGCGAAACGCGTCGTTATAGCGTCGCTATTTCCCGCTTTTTACAACACTGGAAGTTAGATGTTAAAAAATTATCTGTATATGAGGAAATATTCGTATATGTCAGGATGCAAACATGTTTACTAGAATATTTATCTAATATAAGATATAGTTATAGATACGAACATGTACTGAAATATCTTGATCCATATCTGCAATATCAGAATATATGTTCGTCATAAAGTTATAACAATATTATTCCTTAGATTAATGAATGCTAGGTTGATTTTCATGATCAAGAGCAATGTTGAAAATAGCGATAACGCATAACGTAACGCTCACATCCGGTTAACGTAAAACGCAAAATAGCGTAACTCTTAACATAGGTTAAATAATTTATTATTATTTAAATATTTTATAGATGCATAATATTCAAAATCAAATAATATGAATAATCATCATAGTTTTCGAACATATCATCATAAAAATACTATTACAAATCAATATATCATAACAATTTCACAACAAAATCAACCATGTATCCCTTAACAATCATTCCAGAAGCATAGTCGTTAAAAAAAATATACATAATACATTATCACAGTAAGTTCTAGTAGGTAATAACACATCATAAATCTAAAACATCTAATAGTAATCTAAGTGAAGTTACAACTTTTATTTTTGAAAGAAAAGTACCAGTTTTTATTACTTCTAAATCTGATTAATTAGAAAAAAGGTAATTAGTAATTCTTTGATCTCTTTTTAATGTTTTTCAGTGCAAAATCTGATTAATTTGAAAAAAAAAACTCAATCACAACCATCAAAATTCTTTTAAAAATCAAGCCCAGCCCTTGAATAATTTAACCTAAGCTATGGAGCGCTATGAAGACGCGTTACAGAGCGTACGCTATTTTGTTTCTACGCTATTTTCCAATGCTACGTAGCGATAAGGTAGCGCTATGTTACGCTATGCGCTATTTTGCGCTACGTTATTTTCTACACTGATCAAGAGATCTAATCTTAGCTTTTTCAGATATAACAAACATAGTAATGAACTCTCTTGTATCATATGGACTATATTTTTTCTTAATATTATCGAGTTTTCTCATATCTGTTTTGTTTCTGCATGTTCTGCTTATGTTTTCACATGTATATCCATATTTGCATCCAATTTTAGCAGATATTGATATGAATTTTTCTTACCGAGATATATCCATATGTGTATCCGTAATTGGTAAGTGGATACGATACTAAGTATCATGTCATGTCTGATCTGTATCCGAACAGTATATGCACCCTTGCTGATAGGGGGAAGACCAAACTGAAGATTACTGTGAGTTCAAGATAATCAATTGTATAGGTTGATGTTTGATATTACTGGTAACTGAATATTTTCACTTTGCTTTAAAATCTTCCCTTCCCACAAAGGCAAGAAGAATTTTTTGGATCCCATAAAGATGTTCTTGGAGATATCCATTTTTTAAATCCCATTAAGGCAGGAAGATATTTTTAATCCCATAAAGATGATCATTTTTGTTGAGTTAAGATTATAGAGTGGATAAATTTCAGATAGTCGGCAATGTCAGATTTTTCTGTAAATTCACTGTATAATTCCTGTAAAGAAATCAACAAGTTGACAGGTGTAGTCTTTATGGCATTAAGTTTTTTAACGTTTATGGCAAAATTTGTTTCTCATACAAGAAATAGTTGGTTGTTATGCTATTAATTATGTTTTCTTTATAACTTTTATATGACTTAATGTATGATTTATTGTGATAAACAATGTAATGCTGAATTTAGAATAATATTTGCTATGCTTAAAGTGTTATGAATGATTGTCTTGTATGAAGGAAACTACATATTATTGCATACACTAGTTGTCATTTTTTTCATTTGGCACAGCAGAGGTTTCATTCCCGTCTTTTCATATTTAATCAATTCTACCATGATGATTATTCTCACACTTCAGACCAGTAATATTTCTTTACTTTTGATGGTCCTTAGCAAGGAGAAACAAAGAAGGCGTTAGAGGTCCTCCAGAAGCCTAATGTCTGCATTGATCTTCAGGTAAGAAGATTTTCCTGAGAAGATGCTACTAATTTTTGTTTGTATTTCATTTTTCCTCGCGAGTTCTGAAGGTAAGTTTTATACATTTCTTATTTTCCTTTAATTTAACACTCTTTTGTTAAGTAAAAATACTTTGTGTAAACTGTCGTAAATTATTTTTTCCTGCAGTATAAATTTGCTCCGGATCTGATCATGCTTGATGCTTATGAGACTGTTGAAGCATGGATGGCTAACAACAAGCTGAATCCAAGAAAACTAATACCAGCAATGATGCGCTACGCTAGCGAACCACATGCAAAGTAATTATTGTTGACTTTCCCCCCTTTTATTCTTTGCTTTTCAAACGTAATTATTTGCAAACTGTATATGTTTTTAGTTTTTAATATTTAGAAAGTTTTTTTTTGGTGAATATTCTTTTTCTTGGTTGCTGATATTAGTTATCATTTTATACTGGTTGAGGAGATTTAAATCGTAATGCCTGAGAATTTACTTGTAACTAATAATGTCGCCAGCAGCAGAAGTTGCTTTAGTTTGTAGGCAATATGGAGTTAAATAGTGCATGTTAGTATGCACATGCGGTGCAGTGTATGGGAGGAATCATTTGCGTGGGTGAAGTGCATAAGAACTTGTAGAGTGACACATAAAATTGTGCATATATTTGTAATTTAAGTGAAATTTTATAAAATGAGGACAAGACTTGAAATTGGTGTAGGTTGGTCATTATTATGAAAGAGAAAATAAACAAGTTGAAAGTACAAGAAATGATTGTGTCATCATATATCTCTGATAATACCTGGAAGGAGGCAAGGAATGAATACATCATAAGCGGTTTAGGTATTGTATGAATCAAGGACAAGGTAAGCGAATTCGAATAAAGAATTTATTGACTTCAGCGACAATGGAAGCACTTGAGTTGTATTCAGTCGGAGTAGAGGGATATCTTTATATAACACCTTGGAAAATTTGAGTAAAGAATTTACCATCAATATGAATACTTTGTGAAGAAGTGTTTATGATGCTGAAGTGCTTATGGTTTTCCTTAAGGCGAATATTTGCTTGGCTGTGTTGGTAATGACAATTATTTATTTATTTCTTTTCTGGGGGCTGATGACAACTACTATTTTGGTCAGGAATGAGACCCATGAGGTTATCAAGTATTTGGAATACTGCGTCCATCATTTGCATAATGAAGATCCTGGAGTGCACAACCTGTTGCTTTCCTTGTATGCAAAGCAGGTTGGACATGTTTTTTTATTTCAGTTTTAACTGGGCAACATGTGTTTCCTTGTCTCTAGGTCTTTTATTTTTATTTAATTAGCTATGGTTGTACTTCATGCTACTTAAACACATATCAAATTTATTTTCCTTTATTCCTTAAAAAATATCCTTTGATTATAAGCACTAGTTGCTAGTAAATGTACCTGTACAACAGTTTCCATTGTACTTTACGGAATTTCTTTATGTTGCTGCAATTTTTCCTATATACTTTACCATCTCGTGTGCCTTTCGCCTAATTGCTGGAGGGATATAAACTTTATTAATTCAGCACCCTTGCTAAAAATCTGATAATTTTGAATACAATTATCTTCATTTTGCTGATGGACATTATAATAATTCTAGTCATGCATCTTTTCATCTTCTTTATCACTTAGAATGCACGAGCATGCTACACTACTTCTGGGTGATTCTTCTTCTTCTTCTTCTTCTTCTTCTTCCCTCTTGTAACTCATAGCCTCTCTTTAAGTAATTGATCTTTTATCATTCTGTTTCTAACACCTATCTTACAATCTTGTACACACATGAGAAGCTTAACTGAGCTAACTATTCTGTTTCTTACTAGAATTATTTAGAGCAAATCATTAGGTTTTCCATTGTAGAAATCACTTGCAATAGACTAAGGTCTCCTGTTGATTGCCTACAAAACATAGGTCTATGACATACAAGTATGATAGGTATCAGAAATGCATATTTAATTGTATTTCTGTAAACTTTGATTAGTGGCATATACAAGTAGTTTATCAACAAGATATCACAATAAATTACTTGTTAGATGTGGAGATGAAATTTAAGTGGAAATATTGCGGGAAAAATATATGATTTGGAATTTTAATAGATCTTATCCACCTAAGAAACTTGAGTAGATATACATCTTGCCCCTTCCTGTATGATAGATACCTAAAGGTTATAGTGAAATAGAGATCTTATTTGATGTGGAATTTAAGTACAGCTAATCTTGTAGATGTGGGATTTTTAAAATCTATAAATAGCTTTGTTGTGTACAAAAGCAGAGAGCACATGTAAATGGAAGCAATCCAAATCCTTCATCAATCAACATCATATGTTATGAACATAAAATAACTCAATACATAACAGTTTTGAGCAGATCATTTGCTTTATTTGATATGTTAGCAGTACCCACAAATTAAGATAAAGATATTATAGATCCGTAAATATTTTTTGACATCCTTTGTAATACCAGTGCGGAAAAAAGCCCCGCTTTTTGCTTCTTGAGCGTTTTGCAGGGCGGATGCGGGGCTTTATGCTCAAAAACACGGTAGAAACCTTGTAAAAGCGCTGTTAATTGCTTTGAAAATACAAATATGGGTTTATATGATACTCGATCGGAACCCGAACCTGACCCCTTTTTATAAGTAAAACCGTCTGTGTTTCTCGTTCTCTCCTCTTGGCTTCTGCAACTCGAGACAAAAATAAACCTTAACCCTAGCTCCGGCTCCACCAGCATTGTCCACTGCCTCCAGCCAACCACCACCTTTGGCCCCCAAATCCACCTCCAAATTCTTCTCCCTCAAGTGCCGCCTGGCGCCTTCACCATCACCATCACGACATCACCTTCTGTTGAGCTCCTCATTGAAGCTCACCATCAACATCTCCAATCGAAGCTCGTCATTACCATCATCATCTCTAGTCAAAGCTGACTCCTTTATCTCCTTCTCGAGTCGAAGTCACTTCCTTTTCGCAGTCCTCTCCTCAGACATCAAGCTTCAGAGCTCGACTTTTTGCATTCGTAGAATTTTTCATATTTTTCTTGAATTTTGTTATTTGTTTTGGATATTTATACATATTTAAACTGGATCGTTATTTTTACTTGGTGTTTTTTGTCCACTAAAGCCCCAGAAAGTTTGAGCGGGGCCTCACCGCTTTGTTAGCTTCCCTCTTTCCACAACCTCGTATAATATACACACAGAGACACAACTAATCAACATATATTTGTTCAAACTATCCAATTAGCAGATAAAAATTTGTGGATTTGGATACAACACTGTTGCAATGAAACAAAGGAAACTTACAGAAAAAAAAGGAGAAACGCGCTTTGAGTTAATTTCTAAGTTACTAGACTACCCATGCATTTTTAGTGGTGTTCCATCATTTTCCTTTGGATGTGAATGATTTTCGGAATGTGGGAAATTTAACAGGATTTTGGCACGACTCCATTGTTTTAAAAAATATATTAATATTGATATGTATGTCACACTGACCTCTGTTGGTTCTTTATCCAGGAGGATGATAGTGCGCTCTTGCGGTTTCTACAATGCAAATTTGGCAAGGGTCGAATAAGTGGCCCTGAATGTTTTTATGATCCCAAGTATGCATTACGATTATGCCTGAAGGAAAAACGAATGCGTGCTTGTGTCCATATTTATAGTATGATGTCTATGCATGAAGAAGCTGTTGCTCTTGCATTGCAGGTAATTCTATCAGTAAATGTTTATCCTTACAATTTTTTTTCATCCTTTACTATTTTTCAACTCTTGCCTGAGTTTGTTTAATTAGTTTTATTGCATCAATTATTACATCACCATGGAAGTGTCCAACCAATGAAGATCATGGTTTTTAACATGTAAAATTCGGCTACCTAATCTTGGTTGTGGTATAACGATTGTCATTTTCATCAAATTTATTCTTTTTATGACTGTGAAAACAAAAGGTACTACCAAATTTATTTGCTTGGTGAATAAATTAAAAACTCCTCATTTAAGTTAACATAGTTATTCCGTTCAAAATAAACATATTGGCCACTCTGAGAGAGGAAAGAGAAACCATTATCTAGTCCAAATGTAAAATATCTCTAGGACTTCCAAATAGTATTCTTCATTTTGTTAAATCTTAAATAATCGGCAATGCCTCTTCCTTTTGTATTTCTGTTGAGCATGCTTCCGTATTTCCACACTAGTATAGTCTTTTCTATGATCCATCACGTCTGGAGGAGCTCCATTTTTGTTATGCTATTTTTTTGTTTGTGCTAGGCATTAAAGAGCCATTGATATTGAGATTGCAGTACTTCTTCAAAAGTTTTCATTATCATTCCAGATATTCATTTTCTGAATGACTGCACCATAACAAGTTTGTTAATTTTCTTTTGCAATGTTGTTCGTTAGGTGGATCTTGATCTTGCGATGGCAGAAGCAGATAAAGTTGAAGAGGATGAAGATTTAAGGAAAAAACTGTGGCTTATGATCGCAAAACACGTAATTGAGGAAGAGAAAGGAGTTAAAAGGGAGAATATAAGGAAAGCAATAGCATTTCTGAAGGAAACTAATGGCCTACTGAAGATAGAGGATATTTTGCCATTCTTCCCAGATTTCACACTTATTGATGACTTTAAAGTAAAATTTCTTTTAACTTACATTTTTCTTGTTATGATTTTTTGTGTATATTGTGCCACTTAAGATAATGAGAAAATCATAAAATTACTCAGACACACCCTTTTTTTATTTAAATATTTCTACTATTTTTGATCCTAGGGTTCAGGTTTTTTTAATCCCTTGAGGAAGGAAGGACACGGCAGGCCTTGGCCTCTTCCTAAAATGAGATCACATCCTGTACTTAGTGCCAACTTTTCAAGTGTTAATATGTGCAAAAAAACCCGTCTAGACAAGTCGTTTGCATTCCAATAATTTACACTGAGCAATGAGGCTTTTTCTTTATTGCAAATAAATCTTTTGAAATAAGATTTACACTAAAGCAGCCTACCTGTTAAGTTTCTTCCCTGGTTTGAGTTGAGGTTGGGTGGTTCTATACTTTGCTCATAAAGAAGGCATGCAAGTTTCATTGTTAGGTTATTCTTTCTGAGACATTTGGATAGTCGATGTTCAGGCATTTGTAATATGCGAACATAAATTGGATAGAAAGCCATTTGGTACTGTCTCTGAAACATGATGTCAAAGAACTCCATGCATCATGACCAGTGAGGGATGCTGAAAGGTGATTGATTTTTAGACATATATTAAAGTTCTTGTAGTTTAGCTTACTACCTGGATAGCTCTTAGTTGGTTTGCGGAAGAAGATTTTTTCCCCTTGTTGTAGAAAATGTAAGAACTGAGAAGTGTTCCCTTTGTTAAGTGGTCTCCGTCTTGATGCATCAGTTCTAAAGAGATGGAATGAGGATGCTACAATGGATCAAAGCTTGCTGAGAATCGGTCCCAATATCTCTATTATCAGCGCAATTACTTCTCATTTCATCATGTGGGTATGGTGATGCATGTGAACTATGAAGTGGTTTTAAGTGCTATTCATCTGCACGACTGACTGGTTTCCACAGTGTTTGTCTAGCTCTTTGGTTTGATCAGTTCTATTATTATTCAATTGAAATATCCTGAGTGTCTTGTGTCACAATCTGAAAAGAAAATGGATGGTTATAATTAAACAGAAACAGGAGTCCCATAAGTGTCGTCAGTGGCTCACATGGTGGTGGCCAGGTGCATGTAGCAAGTGGCATGCCACATAAGGGAGGTGCCAGTCTTGACATGCCTTGTGCCTCGATTCACCATGGTTTGCCTAGGTGCCCCTCGTAGCTCTGCTAATGTAGTTGTTCTATCCTCTTCTTCCTTCTCTTTCGGCTACTATTCTGAGTCCTGAAGTTGCTTCCTCTTTCTCTTTTCATCCTTCATCTGCTCCCTCATCTCTTCCCTTTACTATTATTGTTACTACTATATCTAGAACAATGCTTTTGAAACAGCATATCATTGTTCTAGATACAATAATAACATTAGCAATTATTTATAGTTTATTCAATTTTTGTTTCTTAAGTTTCTTTGTTTTTTTTTCTTTTTCATTTTCTACATGCTTTCCACCTAGTGCGTTATAATATTGAGCGACATCATATTAAATGCTTCATGTAGCCTTTCATTTCCCTTCCAATGAAGTCTTTTTATTAGACGCTTCCAAAGTCAAATTCATACAGATTATGTTTTCCGTTTGCTTGTTCCTTAAGTGCATTTGTATATGGGAAATGATCTAGTAGTGTTGAATGTTGTTAGAATATAAAACTACAGCCCTCAACCCTCATCGCAATTCTGAGGCATGTTAGAATATAAAATAATAACCTTCAACATTCACCGCATGTCTGGAGTTTTGGTCTAGTTTTGATCCAAAAGAAGGGACCAATAACAAATGGAAATCCCTACAGCATCTCTTCCCTTCTTTCAGAGTCTCAGACTCCTTATGCAGTAGAATTTTGAGGATTCTGTGGCTGCAAGTACTTAAACTGCACTCTTCAAGGAATGCATATCTATTGGAACACTCCCATAGAGTGAGGTGATCTATACCATTCACGGGTGGTTGAGAGGTTAGTTTGAGAATTTTAATTCTTCTATCTATGGTGTAAATCACCTCATTCCTATAGGGGTGGGTCTGATAGGATCCTCATTCTTCTTTAAGATAGGTTTTTCTAGCTGCTAGCTTCCTTCTAAGACTTCCCTCTTTTGGCATATTTTCCTTTACCACAAAGTTAGCACTAATCTTGAGACTTGTGATCATGTTGACAGTTGTCATAATTTTTTTTTAGTGTTGTGCTACATAAGTGAGGATATTTTGATGGAAAGTGTTAGATGATGTTGATGTTGATATATGCGGTTGAAAAATTAATATGATGCATACTTGGTGTAAAGATACGCAGATACAAATTCAATAAAATTTGATAAATTTTTAGCAAGATTATGAATAGTTTATCATTTCTTTAGATCTTCATTCAGTGTTCTCTTTATGTTCCATTTCTTAACAAATATCCCTTATTTAGGAAAATAAAACCATGTAGAATTGTGGTAAAACGTCAAAGTGCCTATATATATATTAGATCTAATGCAAATAATTACTATATTTCCAATATAACCACTGTGATAAACAGTGGAAACATGTGATTGCAACCATGACCCTATTCCTGTTGTAATATTGTTTAAAATGCAAGAGTATTGCACTGTTATTTCTGCCAACCTAACAGTGGATATTTGTACCATTCTGTTAGGAAGCAATATGCTCATCATTGGAGGATTACAACAAGCAGATTCAGAAACTGAAAGAGGATATGCATGATGCCACACATGGGGCTGATAATATAAGGAATGATATCAGTGCTCTTGCTCAAAGATATGCTGTTATTGATCGTGATGAAGAATGCGGGGTATTGGTCTGCTTAGAATTTATTTGGTTTATTGGTATTTTAAATGCATATTTTACTGGATATCATTCACAATTATTTTACGTGCAATGCAAACTCTAGCTACTTGATTTGTTGTATGGTTGACTTTAGCATGTTAAGTTTTGCTTATACCTCCTAGTTCGGTATAGGGAAGTTATCCTTTCCTAATATATGCAATCTAGTTGGTCCTCCCAAAATTCCATGATTTTATGTTCGGAAACCCTCTCCACCTCCATTCTGGATGGAACAGATCTGCTAGCCATTTATTCCTGATAACAAGAGGATCCATGAAATGAGAAAATAGGATTGGAAGTTACTAACATGGTTCTTGAGAAGTTCAAGAATTTTGTCCTTGGCATTGTTTGTGTAATAGATTCAATATTTCCTGGAGACATACTTCATTGGTGATAATGGGCGATAGCATTGTGTCTAGGTAGTCGTGGGTGATGAGTAAGAAACTCTGAAGATTCAAATCATAAAATTTCTCAATTAAGACACAATGTACATGTTAATTCAAATTGAAGATTTTTTTTCATATACAGAATATTACCAATCCCATACACAACAGTGAACGAAATGTGCCAAATGCCAAGAATAACAACCACCCCTGCGCAACCTCCCCCCCCCCCCCCCCCCCCCAAAACAAAAAAAACCTACAATACACAGATAGGACCAATAATTTAAAGAGAAAAAGAGAGTTGAGAGAAATTAAAAAAAAATTGTCGGGGGAGAGCAGATGCACAGAAAATCACTCATATTTAAAACAACAGTAGGAGGAATCATTCTAATATTGTATAAAAGTTTCAGTCAAGACATTATGTGGACCTTGGTAATTTTTGTTCATTTTATAACCATATTTGGCTAAACATGCTTAGTACTATACAAGCTAATATATACCTTACCTACCTCATTTCAGAGGTTGAAATTGTTTTATTTTTATTTTAATATTAGGGTTGTAAGCGGAAAATATTAACTTCTGGAGGGACAAATCTGATGGCAAGAGGTTATACACCAGGTGGACCAATGGCTCCGTTCTATGTCTTTCCTTGTGGACATGCATTCCATGCACAATGTCTGATTGCTCATGTTACTCGCTGCACAAGCCAAACACATGTAAGTTGGAAGTGACACATAACTAACAATGTTTCATCATCATTTATCTATCGCATTGGAGCATTCTGCTCGGGCTTTGTGTAAATACTGACTTGTACTAAGTCTAATATAGGATTCAAAAATATTCCAAGCATTCCATGAATTTTAAGTTCCCAGACTGTAAATAACCATTTACTTGGAAAGAGCATAAATGTTTTGTTTCATTTTTTTCCCTAATGGGCATGCAGTAGCTGATTTGAAAGCATTGTAAAGCTGTTGCCAGTAGTCAAATTTTATATCCAGCATATACTCCTTAAAAACTAAACAGAAAGTTTTCAGATACAAGGCTTCAATTACTTGATGTCAGTGCTGCACATTTTTACTGCAGCTGGAGCCAACCCCCAACCCTAGTGCATGCTTGTTTTACTGATTTTTAATTTTCTTATATTGTATTGCCTAAGAATTCAAACTTTGATGTTGTACACATTTCTTTGTTAATAGGTACTTTGCTTCAGTTTGTATTAATTTCCTTGTACTATTTGGTTACAAAATACGAAATAAGCTTGATATTGTAAACATTCTTGTTTTTGACATACTGCCCAAAGCGGTGCTTATAATCTTTATGAGATCTGCAAATTTCAGTGATATTGATACAGTATGTCTGGTATATTGAATAGTTGTTTATTTCTTTTAGAATTTAATCAAGTAATCATCTTCAATCATGTAATGTTTGTGAAAATTGTGAAATATTTTTTCTGTTCTTGTTCGGGACAACTGATACGCAAAGAGCATACTAAAAAAAAGATTGAGGAACTGTTTATAGTAGTGAGCAGGGAAGATAGTAGTATTTTATATAACCACTCGTATTTGTCATGAAGAATCTGTTTATACTTATGAGCATGGAAGATAGTAGTATTTTGTCATGAAGAATCTGTTTATACTTATGAGCATGGAAGATAGTAGTATTTTATCTAAATACTTGTATTTTGTCACCATGTTGAAGTATCTTCTTTCTGCAAATTCCATAACTTCACTATCATATGCTCAGTAACTGTTTGCGTTATAAGAAGGAAAAAAAACTTGAAAACTATGGTTGATACATTCAGTTACATGCATCTTGTGATGCTCCACCAAGAACTTCTCAAGATTGACTATGAGAGATTCATGCAGTATGTTCTCTTAGCGGAAAGCAAAACAATTATGATGTGTTATTGTTATTAACTGTGGGTGTGAGATTGAACATGTTTGGATAAAGCCTTTGATAGAGCGGACCAGATTTTCCAAAATAGTACTTGCTTTTTGATTATTAAGGGGGTATGGAAATAATATATCTTGGTGGAATGTTCAAGCGTCTTTTTTGAACACTCCTCAATCTTAAAAGTTCCAGTTCCATGCTCATAAATGTAGGAATTTTTATATGCTAACAAATTACATGTTGCATAGACTTCATTGACATATTCCACATTGCTTAAATTTATGAATTAGTTAGCATAATTCATTTTGCTTGTGTTTACCTCATCCATCTATAAATTACACGGTGCAGGCCGAATATATACTGGACCTCCAAAAACAACTAAATTTACTTGGGGTAAACGCCGTGAAGGACAAAAGTGCTGGCCCTAGTGAGGATTCCATCACGAGCATGACTCCAGCTGATAAGGTCAGTATAATCTAAGCTACTGATGCATGCCTTTCCTTAATCTGCTATTGCATACTGTTTCTAAATTTATATATCTGGTATTTTGTTAGAGTTTTAGATTTTATACTTTACTATTTTTTCTTGTTGCAATCTTTTCGGTACATGTGGAACCAGAAAAGGGAATTGTTTCGGAACAAGTGCACAATGGAGTGGAAATAATTGCAAAGAACAAGCACAAAAATAAACAGCAAACAACCGCAAACACAGATTTTTATGTGGTTCACCCAATTTGGGCTAACCATGGCAGCCACATCAATGAAATCTCACTATCTAAAGAGAAAGGAGTACAAAAGAGGACTCACAGTTCAACACCATCTCTAAACTCTCACAAGAATTACATCTGACGACTGTACAAGAGAAAAAGATTTTCATAGATAGCAAAAAAACCCTTCTAATTAGCTCCTAACTTAGGCTAATCTTGTATATTAGCTCCTAACTTAGGCTAATCTTGCATGTCCATTGATACTAAGCAACTCTTTAGATTTACTGAGTCCAGGACGGGTTTGATGAGAGGTCTAAGCCGAGGGCTTCAAATCTTTGTCAACTAGAGACTAATGAACTTTGTAATTTAGTCCAAAGTCAATTAGGACTCTAATGATGACTTCAAATGTCATTATCTAATAGAGTTCCAAATGAGATGCTATAGAATTTGACCGAGATAAATATTTTATAGCAGTAAGAATTCTAGAATGTTTTGGACATGATCTCTTCAAATCTCCACATTGACTCGACAATCCAAACAAGTTCTTCACTTTCTCAATGGTAGATTGCCGACGCATTGCAAATGTGCCCGACAATGCCTCAACGTTCTTGGACATGGAGCAAGTCCAAGCAGAGCTTGAAGTTGGCTACTGACAATGGTTTCATCAACATATCTGCCAAATTCTATTTGGTGTTAATCTTCTTCAAGACCATTGTATTTTTCTTAGTAATCTCTCGAATGAAGTGATAATGAACATTAATGTGCTTTGATTTTGAATTGAAGACTGAAGCTTAGCCAAGTGAATCACACTTCAGCTATTACAATGAGTGAGAGTAACTTTTTGCTCAACTCCCAACTCACCAAGAAAACCTCTTACTATATTGCTTCCTTCACGACTTCTGTAGCTGCTATGAATTCTGCCTTTGCAGTCGACAAGGCGGTAGTAGGTTGTAGCATGGATCTCCAACAAATGGAACCTTTTGCAAGAGTAAAAACATAACATGTTGATCTAGGTTTATCCAAATCACCCGCATATTCCGAGTCAACATATCCGGTATCTAAGGGTCTATTTTACCTCTTCCTAATCCTCTTTTCCGAGATTCGCTATGTACTTATTAGCAACATGACTGTATGTGAAATATCTGATTGAGTACATACCATCACATACATGATACTTCTAATTTTACTCTCATGAGGTATCTGAGACATGTAGTCACAATTCGCATCCATGCTAGGTGACAAAAGTGATGATAAACTGAAGTGTGTTGCAAGAGGAGTGGAAACTTCTTTCGGGTATCATATTGAATCGGGCGATGACTTTCTCGATATAACTCTTCTGTGACGAACCACAATGTTTCTTTCCGATAACTGAAATCCCTATACTAAAAATTTTCTTCGCTATCCCTAAGTCCATCTCAAACTTTGTGCTCAATTGAGATTTTAATTTCTTCACCTCCGATATATCATTTGAAGCAACCAACATATCGTCAACAGAAAGTAGCAACCAACATATCGTCAACATAAAGTAGCAGATAAATAAATGAACAATCTGGAAGAACCTTGTAATAGACACAATGATCATGCATACTCTTAACATATCCATGCCCCAGCATGAAAGCATCAAATTGCTTGTACTACTATCTTGGAGACTGTTTCAAACCATAAAACGATTTCTTGAGTTTGCATACTTGATCCTCTTTGCCATTAACAATGAATTCTTTGGGCTGGTGCGTAAGTCACCGTGCAAGAAAGCTATCTTGACATCAAGTTTCTCCAACTCCGAATCATGCAAGCTACCAAAGCGAATGCGATAAGAATAGAAGTGTGCTTCACTACCAATGAAAAAGAAATCTTGTTATAATCAACTTTTTCCTTTTGAGCGTAACCCTTAGCTACCATAAGTGTCCGGTATCTATCACCACCTGTTTCTGGAGAAGCTTCTTTTTTCTTGGAAACCCACTTGTAGCCCAGGATTCTTTTACCTTTAGGTAACTCTATGGGATCCTACGTGTCATTCTTATAAAGAGATAGCTCAAAACACAATATTTGTTTTGTTCCTCCTCTTTAACCCACCACTATATTTCTTAACCAAACTCTTAGTTCCCCTCTCCACCTTGTTGGAGTACGCACAGAAGCGGAGCCCACCGAGCAGAGGGATCTCCCCTCGTTTCTGCATCAAGAAAATGGACAGAAGCCTGATGGCCATGGGGTTAGAGGGAGAGGGGTTAGAGAGATAGAGATAGAGAGAGGGATTGGAGAGAGAGATAGAGAGAGAGAGAGATAGAGATAAAGGAGATTTATAAAAACTGATTAGCATCGCCCTAACAACAGTCCCAGTGGATAGTTGAGATTGCTCCTTGTATAGGAGTGCTGCTCAAGTAAGTTTTGTGTTTCTTTAATTCTTACAAAAACTCACTTGAACTCATGATATTTCGCATCATTATTAATTTATTTGTAAAATACCTAAAGTAAATAGGCTTTGTTGAAATTTACCTTAATACAAACCCTTACTAGGGAGTAGGTGGCTTGTGCAGGAGGACGTCCACTCTATCACCTCCTCCTTAGCACAAATCTCCAATTTGAGCAATTATTATCATTCACTGTTTCCTCGTAAGTGAGTGGCTCTCCATCTTCAATTGTTATTTGCAAACGCTTTCATGTCTTCAAAACCACACCTCACCGGTGACTTTATGTTTTTTTGGGTCTTCCTGATTCTATCGAATCGATAGGCAAGTACCCCTGGTATGATGAATTTCTGTAGTGAATTTCACACGGTGCTGCTTCCCATAAACACAATCTTCGCAAAATTCAAGCTTGCATATCTTGATTTCTATTAGAAGTCGTCTCTTACGAAGTTTTGCCAAACCTCGCTTGCTCATTTTCCCCAAGCGCATATGCCATAAGCCTGTCGAGTGTGAATCTCTACTTGTAGATATAGAGACTGCAACTACACTTGTCACTGTATTTTCTTGAAGTATGTATAAGTTTCTGACTTTGTTACCTCACATGACAAGAAGAGAAACTTTGAAGATTTTCATATCTTTTTCATCTATTAATGCAATCTTACAACCATTAGAGGCTAATGCACCAACGAGAAGATTTTTTTCAACGCGGGCACATGATGAACATATATGATTGTCCATATGACTCCATCATGCATGTTGATTCTGACTGTTGGAATGCCAATTGTTTTGCAAGGAAAATCATTACCCATAAAAATTATCCCACTATTAAAAGCATGATATGAGGTAAATATGCTTTTATTGGGAGACATGTGGTAACTGGTAACAACTTTCAGAGTTCATAATGCATACGTCTTGTGAATAATCAACATTGACAAAGCTTTGAAAATTGTATCATCCCGATCTGAACTATCTTTTGCAACACTAGTCCTCGAAGAATCTTCTTTGCTCTAACCTTTCTTCTTATCTTTATTTTGAAGCTTCCAACATTCATTGATGACATGCCCTTCTTGTAATAGTTGTAGAATTTTCTTTTAGTCTTCAACTTTGACTTCACTGTTGAAACCATTTTCTATGTTCTGCCTTGAACATGTAAGACTTCGACTTTACCATTATCCGGTGAACTTTATCCATTAGCTCTGTCGAGTACAAAATGATTTCACATCTTCCATTGAGGTGGATTCTCTTCCATACGTCAGAATGTCCCTAAAATGCTTGTAAGAGGGCGATAACGAGCATAACAGTAACAAAGCCTGATCTTCATCTTTTACCTTTACATTTGCATTCTCTTAATTCATAGTAATAAAATTAAATTCATCTAAATGAAATTTAATAGATGTACCTTCTGTCATGCGAAATGTAAACAATATTTGCTCCAAATAAATTGGTTGGTGAGAGTTTTTTTCATGTAAAAAGATTCAAGTTTGAGTCAGGCCCCCTGCGGTCTAATCGTGCACGATTTCACGAAGAACTTCATTCGACAAGAACAATTAAATTGAGGTTAATGCCTTCGCGTACATCTCTAATTTCTCATCATCTGTCATCGATGTTGGCATATTCTCTATCCCCTAAAAAGCTTTACGTAATCCTTGTTGTACTAGAAGAGCACACATCTTCACTTGTTAAAGACTGAAATTAACATTATGATCGAACTTCTCAATCTTGTATTTTACAGATATCTTCTATGTGCACAAACAAATCGAAAATTAGAGCTTTGATACCAATTTGTAAGAGCAAGTGTACAATCGAGCAGAAAGAATAAGCACAAGAATAAACGACAAATAATCGCAAACAGAGATTTTTACGTAGTTCACCCAATTTGGACTAGTCGACAACAAAGGTGTCAAAGAAATTTCGCTACCAAAATAGAAAGGAGTGTAAAAGAGGACTTACGGTTCAACACCCTCTCTTAACTCACAGCAAATGACTGTACAAGAGAAAAAGGTTTTCATAGATAACAAAAAAAAAAAAAAACTTTTTGTTATCTCTTAGATTGGGCTAATCTTGTTCGTCCATTGATAGAGCTTTTGCTCTTTTAATCATCAAGCAACTCTTTTAATTTACTGAGTCTGGAAGCAGTGCAATGAGAGTTCTAATCGGAGGTTCGATGAGAGTTCTAATCGGAGGGCTCCGAGCCTTCGTCAATACTTTGGAGACTAATGAACTTTGGACTCGAGTCCAATATTAATTAGGACTAATAATGACTTCAAATATCATTGTCTAATAGAGTTTCAAATGAGATGCTACTATAGAATTTGATTGAGATAATATTTTATAATAGTAAAAATTCTGGAGGGTTTTGGGGCATGATCTGTACAAATTGTATGTGTTAAGAGATAATAAACTATCACCATGAAACTGTCTAAATTGAAAATCTTAAATTTCAATCTTAAAAGGTCATCTACAAAAAAGGCTTCTTAGTGCACAGGTTCGAAAAATTGATAATATTATAGTTAATGGGGCAAACAGATGTGGAGATTAGACCTAAAAGAACTTGTTTGGAAGCATGATATGGTGATACATAATATTTAGAGCATGTTTAGCAAGTGGTCAAAGTGATTTATAAGTCACTTTCACATGTTTGGCAAATAAATTATTTTGCCACAAAAAATAAGATAGGGTATCCTAGCTTATTTTTTGGTGGCTTATAAACCACAAGGTTTGGCGAAGTAAAAGACTAATTTATCATTATAATTTCACAAAATTTCAAGTCCCATTTTATCTCTTTCAGACACATTTAAATACTTTTTGGTCATTCTGACCAGAATGATAGGTTGTAAGCCATCAGTTTGCTAAACACTATTATTGAAAGTGGATCATAATCCGCTAAATTTAGCAAACACTTTGACTTATGATCCACTTGGCTTATAATCCATTTGTGGATTATATGACAAGTGGATTAATCCAAAGTTGCCAAACATGCCCTTAACTGAACAGAAGAGACGGCTCAAAGAACTTAGTAGAAGAATAAGATTCATGGAGCCGACCTTAAAAATTTAGAGTAGAAGCTTTGTTGTTGTTGTAAATGATTAATTGCACACCCCCTTATACTATGAAGAATAACTATAGCCCTTAATATACCGAACTTTTGACGACATTATTATTCCGTCTGGTTGAGATGATCACTTGACAATAAATTAAAAATTTTCATTTTTACTGAGAAGCTCTCTAAATTGAGTGCAAAAAGGTAACATGTCTGAGGTTCAGGATTTATGGGCTGTAATAAAAGAGTTTACAGGGCATGATTAGCTAAACCACCATATCAGGGTTTTCCTTCCTAAGGCTCAAGTAATCAAATCTAACCATCCCATGTAATCCATTAGGGTTAATTGCATGTAGTCCCTTAAATCATCCACAATTGCCAATTAGTCCCTCAAATCTCAATAATTGCTCATTAGTCCCTCAAATCTATATGGTTCTTGCAATTTCATCCTTCTGTTGGTTTTTTTGTTAATCTTTCTAGCTATAGTTGGGTTAAGCCTTAACCTAACATCTGCAATAACCTAAATATCCTCCCTCTCTCCTTATGTTTTTCA